TTAAATGCATTTCCTAGAAACCCGGCGATTAGTCGAGGTTTGAACGACTTTCCATCGCGACTTTGCACGTGATTGGGCGTTGATAGCCATTGATAAAACAAAGGCATGGGTGGCACGCGTGAAGGCCTCCTGTGATTGGTCGGCGAAGCGAGGTTATGAGTGGCCGGCGCACGGGTGATTGACGTGGCGAATGGTGATTGGCTGATTGGAGGTGCGGGTGTGTTGTCCGTTTTTCTTTTTTTTTTTTTTTTTCGTTTTTTTTCGTTTTTTTTTTTTTTGCCATGCGTGTGTTTTTTTTTCTCTCTATCTCATTTATTTTTTTTTCCTTCTGCGTTTTATAACTGATCGCACGGAGGTGACTGGCATATGTATGTGAGCTGCGTGCTCGCCATGACTGCATGACGGCGATCGGCTGACTAGCTGGCCGGGCAGAGGCTTGCATGGCGTTGGCGGCTGCAATCGCTGCAATGGCTACGGGGGACAGTTAAGCCTAACGATCTTGAAGTGACCTTATTGCGATGGCAGGTCAGGGGAGGTCATGCGGCGGCGGCGGAGGGAAGTCATGACCCGGAGAGAGAGAGGAATGGGTCTATTCGGGGGGGGGGGGGGGCAGAGAGGTGGGGGTACCTATGGCGCCATGCACGGCTATTGGGTACGATGGCCCGAGGGTTATTGTCCGTGGAAACGTTTCTTTTTTTCTTTTTTCTTTTTTTTTTAGGGGGGTGGGGGGTGGGGGGGGTAATCTACTTTCCATGGTCTGTATCTAAATGTATATGTTGTATTTATTTTTTTTTTACGATGTCACATATTATTTTATTTATTTATTCATTCATTTATTATTATTATTATTATTATATGTTTTTTGTTTTTTTTTACTTTATTCGCACTTACGAGGTTTGGATAGGTTAAGTTTTCTATGGAGAAAGAAATTGGCTGGACATAATTACTGATTCTGTTTTGTAGCGCGAACTTTTTGGAGAATTTAATGTCTCACTGTTTTAATTACAAAAAGAAAGAATATTTCACAAATAAAAGAATGAATCCCAAACCTCATCCCTTTTCTCCAAAATGATAAGCTTAGAAGGAAATCTCCGATCTGAGGCTGTAATTGGCTTTGTGATTTCTGTTTGATTAAAGAAAAAAAAGATCTATTATTTATTATTATTATTATTTTAGTTTTGAGTGAAATTAAAGCAAGGAAGAAATGATAAGAAGAAAGGAATATAGAGTATACTACAACCTCCTCCTCTCTCTCTCTTTTGTTTTTGATTTTCCCGCCAAAAAAAAAAACTTTCGTTCGATTATCATGGCCTTTTTTATGAGTTTTGTGAATGAATTGATCGTCGGGTTTATTTTTAATGGAATACCTTGTTTTTTTTAAGTTCAAGAGAATATCTGACAATAACTTGTAGATATTTAGGATTTTCTTGTGAGAGGATATGAGTCTAGCTTCGAGTCGTCTTGAAAAAAAAAGTTTAATATTACTGGTTATATGTGGATTATATTTTATTGCATTTTAATGATATGACTAAAGCAGCTTTGCATCGGATTGCATTTAATGATTGCAATAACTTCCCTTTAATATGTTTCCCCCCCCTCCCCCCCAGTTTGATATAAAAAACAATATTAGTAATAAGTTATTGTTTTAGTTTTAAAATAATGTTTAGCTCTGAGATGCATATTGTTATCAGTAAACGAATGATACACTGTTGCATATGTTGATAATCCATTGCATCTTTGATCATGTACGTGTCTGTGCACTTGTTTCTAAAACAGTCATCTAAGATTTCATGTGTGTGCTTATGTCCTAAATCAGAAGCTCTTAAAGAAGCCTCTACGTGTCTGTCTTTTAATGGAAAGAGGCTTCACGAGTTTTTTTTTTTTTCAATGTCTGTGCAGTTGATTTAAAATATAGATTGGAGAGGCTTCACTAACCTCTTTTTTGAGATTTTTTTTCTTGCAATAAATCATCTATCTGTTAATTTATTCATTGCTTTGTTTATTGATCTATTTATACGATTATTCGTTCTTTTTTTTTCCTCCGGTGTCTTTGATGTGTCGATCTCTTCTTTCTCTCCCCTTCCCCCCCTCCCCCCTCCCCTTCTTTGCATGCAGTCCGATTATGAAAATGTGGACACCGTATGTATTCTCATTGCAAATGTATTGTTATGCACGTTCTCTCTCTCTATTTTTCTATTTCTCTCTCTTTCTTCCTGACGGTCTGCATTTTGTAATATTTAAATTTGATTATATATTTTTTTTAACTTGGTCTGTCTTTACTTTACTTTTTTTTTTGATTGGATATAAATTTGTTTTGGAGAGTCGAGTTGTGTGTACTTTTAAAACCGCATGTGTATATGTATATAGATATATAGGTATATTTTTTTTCGAATGCTTATATAAAGCATGTAGAGTTGATTGATGTGGAATTCGTGTTTAATGATAATCTACTAATTAGCATGAAATTTAAATAAGAAAGTCTATCGTGTCTATTACATTA